GGGAACTGTGTGGAGACCAGCAAGATTAGAGGTAAACCCATGATTGAAGATGACCTCTGCCACTAAGTAATATTCTGGACGGAGATCCCAATTTCCCATTGAACAATAAATAGATAATAAATAGGGGGAACTCAATGATTTTCTCTCTGCTGTACGGCAGAGCAAAGACCAGGGAGCAGCACAGTGTGAAGAATGCAATCCATTATATTAGATGGACCTTAGTGTCAATGCAATTATAACAGAATGGGCAGGTGCTGTATATGGGTTGTGTTTGAAGCTGTATAAAAACTCAACAGAGGTTCGAAGCCATCTCCACTCAATAAAAAAGGATCTGGACCTTAAAGAGGAACCTTACCCACGTCTTAAAAATTACAACAAAGCCACCATTTGAAATGTTTAGTAATGGCAATCTACACCCAGATACGTAAAGATAATGCAGGATTTATTGCATGCCTTATTTTTATTTTCCTCTCCATCCTTCTCACAATGTCCATTTTCTCTAGGGAAAGATTAATTTATCTCCCTTTACCTCCAGGAATTCTGCTTGGAACTTAGGGTCTGCTTCCTGGAACATGTGACAGTGCATAGCATCTGAAGAGGAAGGTGCTGGTGATGTAGCCTTCCCAGGATGCATCCTGGAGGCCCTGGTTACATCACCAGTACCTCACTCAGACCAGAAAGTGGAAAAACAGTTAATGTAAGTAAAAGAAAAAATGGTTCAAAGCAGCAATTCTCAACCAGAGCTCTGTGGAACCCTAAGGTTCTTGCTAAGGGTTCCTTGAGCTGAAGCCAATTGAAATGCCATTTGATGGTGTCTACATAGTTTTGGGACCATTACCACTTGGCAGAACTTGTGGCATGATCTTTCTTAGGAGCCTGTAAGGGTGACAGTCTGTCCACTACTGTAGGGGCATTTGTTTTACTTCCTACCAATGTAAGTTGCATTAATCCCACTGCCCCCTGATGAATTGGTTTTAGCAAGGGTTCACCGCGACCTGAACATTTTTACAAGAGTTCCTCAGGGGTGGATTTCTATTTTTTAGTTTTGGATAGAGTAGAGAGGGATTAGAAACACTAAAAGGTTTTTATTGCTGCCTGTGTCTCTGTTGAGGAGATTCACCCTTGCTGAATGAAAGTCAAAGAAAATTCATATTTCAGGCTTTCACTTGAACAGGAATAGAGGTCAAATCTACCAATGAGGACACTAGTTCTGGTGACAACCAGGAATTCCATCATTTTGTAGGGATTTCCTTTCATTTCCTGTTTTGGCTATGGGACAATAAATGGGACACACAGATGGCAAAAAAGTAAATAAAACTGAGATGGGTTTTGCCCCCCCCCCCCTTTACACTTTTTAAAGTGAAAAAAATTGCCTTTAGTTCTAGTTTAACTAGTTAAGCTTTCATACCTTCACGCAAAGCTGCATGCAGATGTGGTTTTTAGAGAAAGCAGGAATGTCCGTCTTGAAGTGGTTGTAAAGACTGAAGGTTTTTCTTTACCTATATAATAGGTAAAAAAGCCTTCTGTATGCAGGTTCCCCCACAGCCGGCCACTACTTACCTGAGCCCCTTCACGATCCAGCGATGTGCATGGGAGCCTCAGGTCTCCCTCTCCTCATTGGCTCAGAAAGCACCAGGACCCATTGGCTCCCAGTGCTATCAATCACAGCCTGTGAGCCAATGAGGAGAGAGTGGAGGGGGGGGGCTCTATGTGTCTTATGGATTTCCAGAGTGGGGGCTTGGGAATGAGCATGCACCAGTGCCTCCTCAGCAAGCGGTTTGCTATTGGGGGGCACTATCAAGGTGGAGGGGCCAGGAGTGTGGCCGGGGGAACCGAGAACAAGAGGATTGGGCCGCTTTGTGTAAACCATTACACACAGCAGGCAATTATGACATTTTGTTATTTTTTTAATAACTGAACCTTTAATATCACTTTAGGAGCCCATTTACAATGTTGTGTTTTATTACATGCACTGCAACACGCAAAAATCCATGTGTTCAACTTTCGCATGGCACTGCAGTGTAGTGAATTTTAAAAAATACATGTCCATTTTTTTCTGTATTTTAGTGCCTTGAGAGACCCATAGAAATTGATGGCAGTGCAACAAATTCACTTTACATGCCTTTTGATGTGTTGGCAAATGGTATTAACAAGCTTTGGTCAAAACATTGAAAATGTGCATCAAAACACACTATTCCAGGGGTGGGCCCTTGATATTATAAATGTGTCACCATTGTTTGGGGCTGTGGTCCTTTTAATGGGGTCTGATTACAGAGACTTTGGGCCTTAAAAGGTTAACTCGCCTACATGAGCGATCTAAGAGGGGCATAAATTAGCCAGCAGGTGCTGTTGCATTGTGATGTGGAAAGGTACACAATGGCGAGTGATCTGTGGGCCATTTGCTGTGACACTGGTGGGCTACTTGTTACCATTAGCAGGACCCCTGAAGAAGGCAGGAACTTTAAATCCTGTTGTGGGGACAAAGGTATGCTAGTGGTGAGCCAAAGTTTTGCTTTGTACGAGAGTTTATGGACAGTTTTGCTTATTTTATGCTGAAGATGAACTGTTTAGTGGCACCTTTTGGAGGAATAAAGACATGTCTTTACAAAGAAACAGCTGGATAGTTGTCCAGGCCCACAAAATATCACAATATGTTAGTGCACAAAGGAACCCCACATTGACATATGACAACACCTGCCTGACACTACAAAAAAGCGTACCACATACACTACAGTGGCAAAATTATTGGAACGCCTGCCTTTACATGCACATGAACTTTCATGGCATCCCATTCATAGTCCGTAGGGTTCAATATTGATTTGGCCCACCCTTTGCAGCTATAACAGCTTCAACTCTTCTGGGAAGGCCGTCCACAAGGTTTAGGAGGGTGTCTATGGGAAGGTTTGACCATTCTTCTAGAAGCGCATTTGTGAGGTCAGGCACTGATGTCGGACAAGAAGGTCTGGATCGCAGTCTCCGCTCTAATTCATCCCAAAGGTGTTCTATTTGGTTGAGGTCAGGACTCTGTGCAGGCCAGTCAAGTTCCTCCACCCCAAACTCCTCATCCATGTCTTTATGGTCCTTGTGCACTGGTGCGCAGTCATGTTGGAACAGAAAGGGGCCATCCCCAAACTGCACCCACAAAGTTGGGAGCATGAAATTGTCCAAAATGTCTTGGTTTGCTGACTCTTTAAGAGTTTCTTTAACTGGAATCAAGAAGTCAAGCCCAACCCCTGAAAAACAACCCCACACCATAATCCCCCTCCACCAAACTTTACAATTGGGCAAGTGCCGTTCTCCTGGCAACCGCCAAACCCATCGGATTGCCAGACAAAGAAGCATGATTTTTCACTCCAGAGAACACATCTCCACTGCTCTAGAGTCCAGTGGCGGCATGCTTTACACCATGCATCCACCGCTTTGCATTGCACTTGGTGATGTAAGGCTTGGATGAAGCTCTCTATGCACTGTTGTTGTGCTAATTTGAAGGCCATATGAAGTTTGGAGATCTTTAGCTATTGACTCTGCAAACAGTTGGCAACTTCTGCGCACTGTGCGCTCCAGCATGCGCTGACCCCGCTCTGTCATTTTACGTGGCCTTCCACTTGGTGGTTGAGTTGCTGTTGTTCCCAGTTGCTTCCACATTGTTATAATCCCACTAACAGTTGAGTGTGGAATATTTAGTAGCCAGGAAATGTCACGGATGGACTTATTGCACAGGTGACCACCTATCACGGGACTACGCTTGGAGTCACTGAGCTCCTGAGAGCGACCCATTCTTTCACCAATGTTTGTAGAAGCGGTCTGCATGTCTAGGGGATGATTTTATACACCTGCGGCCATGGAGGGGATTGCAACACCTGAATCCAATGATTTGGAGGGGTGTCCAAATACCTTTGGCAATATGGTGTAGTTCTAAATGGGTCTGTAAAGTTTTAGTGAGCTCTATTCTGCTATATTTACCTACAAGAAAACGTATAATAGAGTTTAACTGTAGGTAAAATGAACATCACCTAAATGTGTAATCTTTAGGAGATATTCCTGTGAGCAGCATGTAAGGGAATCCCAGTACTACGACACAGCAGCGCTCATAGAAATTAGAATAGGCTCATGCATGCGCACAGGAATGCATGCACATGTGTATACGCACGCGGGAGCATGCCCACAGATTCTGCCTCCAGATGGGATATTTAAGGGTTGCTCTTGCTCACTGTCATTGCTGATTGGTCTTCATCTGTTCCCTGCGTTGTTCCTGTATGATTTCCTTGTTGCTGACCTGGCTTTCTCCTGACCTGATATTGGATTCTGCTCCTGACTTGTTGCGAGTTCCTGACTCTGGCTCTGTTCCTGACTTTGGCTCTGCTTATGATTTGGTACCTCGCTGCCTGCCTGTTGATGATATAGCTATTCCTGTGACCATGCTCCTGTCTCTCATCCTGGCTTCTCGTCCAGTTGTGAGTGCCTGCCTGGCTGTCTGCTGTACAAGTTCTGTTCACCGCTGAGTGTTCCTGCCTCAAGTCTACTGGGGACTCTGACAAGCCACTCATCCTGAGCCTGCAGCGCAAGCGGAGTGCCCCTTTAACCCGGGCTGGACTCCTGAGCACAGCTACCGTTTGTGAACCGATGGTCCACCAGTCTCCTCCTCCTCCTCCTGCTGCAAGGTCTCCTATCAACATCTGCTGGCACTTGTGTTCCTCTGGTCCCTTGGTACCCTCTGTTCCACTTCCACTGGGGCCTGGGCTGGAGATACAAGTGAGACCAACCTCATCTTTTCAGTCTCCTATCAGGTACGTGAGATATACTAGAGTAGTATGCCTTTACCACGAAGGGAGAACTTTTTTTTTTCTCTTGGAGGAACTTTACTATTGCTTTAACCACCTTCCGCCTGCCATATAGTACAATGACGGGTGCAAGGTGGTTCTTTCGTTCTGATAGGACGTCATATGACCTCCTTCCATTCTCACCGCGCATGCGCGGCTCAAGGAGCGTGCAGTGCGGCGATCGCCGGTGCACTGTGTCCCTCGGACACAGCGGATCACGGAAAGAGCCGAAGATGTCGGCTAGGTCATGTGATCAGCTGTGTCCAATCACAACTGATCACATGTAAACACGGAAATGCCGGTTATCGGCATTTCTCTCCTCTCAAGCTGTCACACTGACAGCTCGAGAGGAGAGCCGGTAATCAGCTTCCCGCGGAGGGGACATGTACACTGATCATCAGGGCACTGATGATCAGTGTGCCCTGATGATCATTGTGGCCCCAGAAGTGCCACCAGTCAGTGTCCATCAGTGCCAGCAGTCAGTGCTCATCAGTGCCACGTGCCAGTTCCCATCAGTGCCACATCAATGCCACATATCAGTGCATACTAGTGCACATCAATGCCACCTATTAGTGCCCATCTGAGCTGCCTTTCAATGTCACCCATCAGTGCCAGTCAGTGCCACCTATCAATGTCAATCAGTGCCGCCTATCAGTGCCAGTCAGTGCCGCCTATCAGTGCCAGTCAGTGCTGCCTAACATTGCCAGCCAGTGCCACCTATCAGTGCCAGTCAGTGCTGCCTATCAGTGCCATATATCAGTGTCATGTATCAGTGCAACCTACCAGTGCCTCCTCATCAGCGCCCATCAGTGGCACCTATCTGTGTCCATCAGTGCAGCCTATCAGTGCCCATCACTGCAGCCTCATTAGCCCACATCGGTGAAGGAGAAAAATTACTTATTTACAAAATTGTATAACAAAAACTAAGAAAAAACTTTTTTTTCCCAAAATTTTCAGTGGTTTTGGTTTATTTAAGAAAAATTAAAAATCCCAGAGGTGATTAAATACCACAAAAATAAAGCTCTATCTGCCTCAAAAAAATATATAAAAATTTCATATGGGTACAGTGTTGCATGACCGCGCAATTGTCATTCAAAGTGTGACAACGCTGAAAGCTGGAAATTGGCCTGGGCAGGAAGGGGGTATAAGTGCCCTGTAGGCAAGGGGTTAAAGAGGAATTCAATCTAAAAAAGAAAAGGAAAAAAAAAAACGCAGAAGAAACCCTATTGGTCTTTTTTTATAAACCCGTGTTGCCTGTTTTATGTACAGTGCATGCGCAGCTCAGTGCATATTTATGGCACAGCAATAAGAAATAAAATAGAGGGTGCACCAGCCTTGTGCGTTATCCTTAAATACGGCTTTATTGTGTAGAAAGGTAAGGATTATACTCACAAAGTAGGCCAAAAATACAAGCTCATCGTATGGACACAGCACAGTCCAATTTACAGAGCATCATAGAGTAAAAGGATGATGGAGACTGATGCGTTTTGAGGACTTAGCCTCCTCCTCAGAGCTCTGTTTTGTTTGTTATTGAAATATCTCTAGACTTCCCCAGTCTCGTGAGGGCAGCAAGGTGAGAACATCCTATAAAAGCCAGGATATGTTTGCAGCCTAGTGACAATTTTGGCCCACTCTCCAAGCACTAATATTTACGGCACTACTTTGTGAATTTTTTGCACATGTGACATCATCGCGGTCAAGCCAACCAAGCAGCCAAAAGTTCATATGGAAGACCTGGAGAAGATTCCGCCTGTGTCCGACTTGGAGAAGATGCCACCCGTGTTTTGAGGACTTAGCCTCCTCCTCAGAGCTCTGTTTTGTTTGTTATTGCAGTATCTCTAGACTTCCCCAGTCTTGTGAGCGCAGCAAGGCGAGAGCATTGTATAAAAGCCAGATATGATTGCAGCCTATTGACATTTTTTGCCCACTCTCCAAGTGCAGTTAATATCTACGGCACTACTTTGTGACTTTTGTGCACATGTGACATCATCGCGGTCAAGTCAACCAAGTGGCCAAAAGTTCATATGGAAGAGCTGGAGAACCTGCCACCCGTGTCCCACGGGAAAATCTGGAGACTATCTCTTGCCAGGTAAGACTGCCATAATGTGCTAATACGTTGCGCGAATATGGCTAACAGCTCCTAGGACCCCATCAATCAAAAAAATTGGCGAAGGTCTAATTCCACTTTAAGGGTAGCTGTAATTTGGACAATATCTCAAAATCTCGGCAGTGCTGCACCTGGTGGCCTGCAAACGGTGTGCTAAATCCATGGATGGCTCCTGCTGATGGCTGTAGGCTGTAGATGAGGGAGCCGGTCTTCTTCATTTTGACCTTTATTCTTCAGCAGCCAGTTTGGAGCAGACAACCCCACTTGTCTGCATCATCGGGATACAGGCTTTAGAAGAGGAAGCTGAGCTGCCAACATTTCAGAGCACTGGAGGCAGGCTGCAGGGTAAGTTATCATCCGGGACTATACAGATGCTTATTTATAGCGAGCAATCCAGTCCATGACTGCTTAATGCCCCAACTAGCATTTTAATCCAAGGTCTTCAGCAACGGAGCAGTCACTTACCGTCCTGTAACAGAAAAGTCACTTAGACGATGGATAAACAGCGTGATCCCGCTGCTAAAATCGCTAGATTCATCGGTAATAGTAGCAATTGTTAAATAGATGGAAGAAACGTTTTCCCTGTGGTGTAAGCTCCAGCCGCATGTAGCAAAATGCTCTACGTCTGAGCAACTGATTGCCACTTTCTGATTGCTTATTATTCTACGTGTGTAGTAAAGAGCATCGCGAGTCCTTTGTTTAGCTTTTTAGGCCAAGTTTACACTTGTGGGTAGCGGGGCGGTAAAAAAAAAAAATAAATTGCATAGTTGAGCCAGATGTGTATTGCCCCATAACCCCCCCCTTCATATCCACTCCCATTAAAGTGTTACTAAACCCATGACCCTGCATTCACAATACCTGGTCTTCCACAGTACATACTGCTTGGAAATGCAATTATTTTAGTAAAAAAAAGTAACAGGACGGACCCCGCATTCTCTATATCTGGTCTCCCAGGACCCCGCATTCTCTATATATCTGGTCTCCCAGGACCCCGCATTCACTATATCTGATCTCCCAGGACCGCGCATTCTCTACTATATCTGATCTCCCAGGACCCCGCATTCACTATATCTGGTCTCCCAGGACCCCGCATTCACTATATCTGGTCTCCCAGGACCCTGCATTCACTATATCTGGTCTCCCAGGACCCTGCATTCTCTATATCTGATCTCCCAGGACCCTGCAGTCACTATATCTGATCTCCCAGGACCCTGCAGTCACTATATCTGGTCTCCCAGGACCCTGCGTTCACTATATCTGGTCTCCCAGGACCCTGCATTTGCTATATCCAATCTCCCAGGACCCTGCATTTACTATATCTGGTCTCCCAGGACCCTGCATTCACTATATCTGATCTCCCAGGACCCGGCATTCTCTATATCTGGTCTCTCAGGACCCTGCATTCACTCATCGTCTCCAGGACCCGCATTCTCTATATCTGATCTCCCTGGACCCTGCATTCACTATATCTGGTCTCCCAGGACCCCGCATTCTCTATATCTGGTCTCCCAGGACCCCGCATTCTCTATATCTGGTCTCCCAGGACCCCGCTCCCAGGACCCTGCATTCTCTATATCTGATCTCCCAGGACCCCGCATTCACTATATCTGGTCTCCCAGGACCCCGCATTCACTATATCTGGTCTCCCAGGACCCCGCATTCACTATATCTCTGGTCTCCCAGGACTCCGCATTCTCTATATCTGATCTCCCAGGACCCTGCATTCACTATATCTGATCTCCCAGGACCCTGCATTCACTATATCTGGTCTCCCAGGACCCTGCATTCACTATATCTGGTCTCCCAGGACCCTGCATTCACTATATCCAATCTCCCAGGACCCCACATTCACTAGATCTGGTCTCCCCGGACCCTGCGTTCACTATATCTGGTCTCCTAGGACCCTGCATTTGCTATATCCGATCTCGATCCTATATTCTCCCAGGACCCTGCATTTACTATATCTGGTCTCCCAGGACCCTGCATTCACTATATCTGATCTCCCAGGACCCGGCATTCTCTATATCTGACCTCCCAGGACCCTGCATTCACTATATCTGATCTCCCTGGACCCCGCATTCACTATATCTGGTCTCCCAGGACCCTGCATTCACTATATCTGGTCTCCCAGGACCCTGCATTCCTTATATCTGATTTCCCAGGACCCTGCATTCACTATATCAGATCTCTCAGGACCCGGCATTCTCTATATCTGATCTCCCTGGACCCTGCATTCACTATATCTGGTCTCCCCGGACCCTGCATTCTCTATATCTGGTCTCCCAAGACCCTGCATTCACTATATCTGGTCTCCCAGGACCCTGCATTCACTATATCTGGTCTCCCACAGTACACACAACATGGAAGTGCAATTATTTTAGTAAATATAAACTGCTAAATACCTTTTCTCATCAGCAGTTACAGCAGTCTTGTGACTTCAGCAGAGCACTGGTTAAAGCTTGTAGGAGGACTTTTCATTCTGCTCTGACTGTCCTATGAAGCTGTATAACCCCTGACCCTCTGTCTGGACAGCGCTGATCGACCCTGTGCTGATCACATGCACCCTCCCAAAGAAAAAAAAAACTCTCTAGCAATACACAAACTGAGCATGTACAGAAGGACTCCGAGAGCTCTATACTAAGAGCGGATGAATTGGGGACAGTAGAAGGAGGGGTGGATCAGAGAAGACAGGATCAAACAGCCTTTTTACACAATGCAGAGGATTAACCCCTTAGGCTCCACAGTGAGTATAACTAGCATGCTGTACTGCATATGCAGACTGATTTTACTGTTGTGGGTTTAGTAACACTTTAAAACCATAGAATTTTTTTTTTTTCTGTTTCGCACGCCTCTTTAACATCTATTCAAATAAAACGCCCTCTTCATTTTTTTTTTCTTGTTCTGTCTCCTATCCCGAAACTGACAAAAACACCTGTAAAAATAAATCTCCTGCTGGCTGTTTGGACATATTGCTCAAAAAACTGACTCGTGTTTCTGTTCAAGCAAAACATAATTTATTTTTAACTCGATGCTGCGAGATCTGCAGGGGTTGATGAAATTGCGCTCTGCAGTAATTCATTCGCTCGGCTAATGTGAGCTAAATCAAACACAGCCATGAAATAGACTTACAGGAAGTCTTCTGAAGAGCGAGCAAGCGTGTTACACAGGCCTTTAATCCTTCGGCTTCCGAGCGCCTCTCGCCCATGATCAAGTGTGAAAATCAAAATTAGCTGAGATGGAAAAACAAAAACAAATCAATGACGTGACCTCCCCTGGAACAGTATTAGGAGAACGGCTCAGAGGATTTTTTTTTTTTTTTTTGCAATTTGGATAATGCCTTTTGGCAGGGGCAGTGGTACATAGTTACATAGTTAGTCTGGCTGAAAAAACACAAAAGTCCATCCAGTTCAACCATTAAAAAAAGATAAAGTTATAATCCCATACCCACAGGTGATCCAGGTAAGCAACCAACATTTTATTTGGCATATTTAATGTGCTTAGGGCTCTATCAGCGCCAAGATCCTGGC